AGGGAGGCTGGCGTTCCCTCCTGTCCAAAGCCCCTCTCCAGGGTAGCGGGGCGTGCGGTCCGCCCTCATGGACGCACCGCCCGGGCAAAGCTGCAGCCGCCTGAGGCTCTTTACAGAGCGCTCGGGCGGCTGCAGCATGGGGGGGCTGGTCATGGCACCCCCCACCCGGCTGGCACCCGGGGCGGACCGCTCCCCCCCGCCCCCCCCTTAGTACTCCACTGGTTCCAGGCCTGTTGTACTTCTCATCTCACTACATGATGTCAGTATAGGGATAAGAAAGACTATCTATTGGGGCTGAGAGTGATGGTACAAATAGCAATCCCATCCCAATTCCCAGCATGCACTCACACCATCCACTCTAACACCATTCTGAAATTTGCACTGGTGCATTTTACCAGTACAAAATATAGATTATATGCATACTTACCTGAAGGCAAACTCGTCATCCACGTGATCTGTAGATCCCAGGTTCTCTTAAAGCAGGGGTGCCCAATAGGTAGATCCCCAGATGTTTTAAAACTACAGCTTCCATGATGCTTTGTCAATCTAAAGGAATGCAAAGCATCATGGGTGTTGTAGTTCTACAACATCTGTGGTTCTACCTTTTGGGCACCCTTGTCTTAAAGGCTGACAGGCTTTAGCCATTTTGGTTTGGGCTTCTGTTGCTTTCTGTATCTTTAAACGTACATTAGCATTCACGTATCCAAATCTCTGCTCATTCTCTATCACCTCAACGCGTAGAAATAATGAAAACAAAAGTACCAATCCCAAAATATAATGGGTATATTTACAAATGGCAAACATTTTCACACATACTTTCATATCTGTCTTTCTAGTATCAATGCAGTAGTTATTTTTTTTTGTTTATTCACGTCATTGTTTCTAAATGATAGTGAGATAATGAGAGTTGAATTTATCACGTGTAAACACAGCAACTTGTTTATTTTGGGTTATTTTATTTTAGCTTTCTTTGGTTTGTCAGCATTGCTAGAAAGTGTTGTTTTTATTAGTAATTTCCATTGTATTAAACATGTGTAAGTTACTTGGGTTTTTATCTGTGTTTTAGAGCAACATTGTTTATGTGAAAATTGACCACATTTGAAATATTTTCCATTTCCTTTTATCTCTAGTGTTTTGGTTGCACAGTAAATTAATGGCTGTCATTAGATGTATTTTGCAATATGCAAAGTGCTTGTGCACTTCTGTGTAGACACCATTCATGTAGATCGCATTACATACAGGGCTGCCATCTGAAATGGGATTGGGGTGCTCACAAAGA